CCAAGTCTTGAACGTCATTGTCGTGGCCTATCAGTCTCCGGACCGTGCGCCAGTTTTCTACAGGAGGTGCCTCGTTCGACCCTATGTGAAACAACGTATTAGCCGCCGCTTCTAACCCGAACGAACCTCGAGACTCGAAATTACCCACCAAATGTTGTAGCATGCGACGGCGGATTCGCATCCAGCGTGTAAATGCAAACAATCTTATCATCTGCCCCTGATGCGAGGTACTTCCCGTTTGGCGAAAACCGAACCGTATGAATCGTGCCGGAGTGGTTGCTCATCGACGCCAGCTGCTTTGGCTTGCTAGCAACCGCAGGGTCATCGGTATTGCAGATAGCTTCCGTCGACCATATCCGAACGTATCCATCTATTTGATTCGAAATGAAGTCAATACCAGTCCAATCCATCGGTTTGCGGCGGGGGGGGGTATCGTCGGGCACGGAGAACCAACCTCCAGCAGCTGTAACTAAACGACTTCCATCGGGTGACACATCGCAACTGTAAACCTCGAAATCCTTCCTCTCACCTGCAGGGCAACGAGGGAAAGCTGTTAGTTACTTCAACTCCAGCATGTATAGTTGTATACCATCGGTCTCGAAAGAGAGTACGGTGGTGAATAAAATGTTGAAACAACGTAGACAGAATGGTGAATACCTCCGTGCGTCAGCCAGACCGGTTTTATGATATGCATCGCAGCAGCTGTGTTGCTTTCTTTTTATCCTGTACGAATCCCTTGTGCGCAGGATCATAGGAAAGTTGACGTGGATGAGGGATAGCTTATTTGGGGCATCGCAAAGCAACCGCGTCCACAATCATCGGACCCGAGGTGTCCTTGCTGAGCGAGAAGGGCGGGATCCGATAAATTTGGTCTAAAAGATTGTCTCTCCGGTTCAGGAGATAAAGTCCAGTAACGCGAACAATAGAGTGCGCGCCGATCTTCAGAAAAGTCGCGATCTCCCGAAGCAGTAAAGCGGCAGGTCGGGTGATCCGTGCTTTGCTTTCTCCGCCTGGGGATCCTCAGGCACTGCCATTACTGGTGCCTGATCAGATACCTTACGGAACTTCAAGGACACACGAATCGATTTCTCAACCCACTTGTCTACTATACATGATACTTCGTTTGAACAGAGGTCACACTCTCCTCAAATAACTAGGCAATACGCTAAACGGGCAATGACCACAAGCTTTTTCCCAAGGCGCTTGTTTCAAGCACATCCTAAAGAAATGTCGGGCAATGGAAAACAAATGACTGAGGGGCGATAATAAAGGTACAGTGTGGCAGGGATAGGTATTTCGTACACATCCGAAAGCAATCGTAAAGGGGACTAGAGGTAGCGGTGGATAAGAAAGAGGTCAAAGAAGACGTCGAGCCTGTAGAGGAAATAGTACAGTCCATCATTCCAAATTATCTCTTCTGCTGGCTAGCCTCATTGAAGCCACCCAGCACCTCCTCTGCGACATTTTCATGGGCGTTCTCTTCAACTTCCGGTTTGACTTCATGGTCCAGTTCAGACGCTTTGTCTGAGGTGTGGTCTTGAATGGGTTCCACTCCCAGGGTCTTCGCCGCAACGGTGTGCGCCTGGCCCTCGTTGACCTTCTTGTAGATAGCCATGGCGCTCGCAACCATTCCACTCATATCCCCAACGTTTCCGGGAACGACAACCGCAGTGCCCTCCTTAGCCAGGTTGGAGAAAGCATCGACATACTTCTCTGCCACACGCAGGCTAAGAGCTCCATTGGCATTCTCCTTATCAGCCGCGATAGACTGAGCGACAGCATCGATCCCCTTCGCGGTAGCCTGTGCCTTCAGCAAGATCGCTTCAGCCTCACCAGCGGCACGGTTAATCTGCTCTTGCCGCATAGCTTCCGAAGCCAGGATAACGGACTGCTTCCGACCCTCAGCGATGTTGATCGCACTCTGCCGTTGACCCTCGGAGTCGAGAATCTCCGCCCGCTTCGACCGCTCAGCCGTGACCTGGCGATGCATGGCTGCGACAACGCCCTCCGGTGCATGGATATCTCGAATTTCATAACGAAGACAAACAACTCCCCAGTCTTGTGCTGCCTCGTTGATAGCCTGGGTGATGTTGGTATTTAACGTCGCGCGCTCCTTCAGCACGTGGTCAAGTGTAAGCTGGCCGATCTCCGAGCGCATAGTCGTCTGTGCAAGTTGGGAGATGGCATACTCCGCATCCTCCACACCGTAGCTATCATGGCCAAGGCCATACGTCAGCCAAGCTCCGACTCTATAATCCAACACTGAGAGGCGCAAGGAGAACTCACCTCGCCTTATACGCGTCGAACACTCTCGTATACAGCACACCATCCAGCTCCAGTGTGACGTTATCCGCGGTAATAGCATTCTGACTCGGGATCTCGATGGCCGATTCCTTCAAGCTCTTGACATAGGCAATCCGGTCAATGAATGGAATCAGAATCGCAAGACCGGGCTCCAAGATACGGTGAAACTTTCCCATCCGCTCCACAATCCATGCTGTCTGTTGAGGGACGAATCGAATAACCGTGTTCATGGGGAGCGCCGAGCGATTGGAGAAGTAGGTAGGGGGTCCCCCAGGTTGCGATCCAGCCCCAAAGTTCAGCAGAGATTCGGGTGCGAGACGCCGGGGCGAAGAAGAAACATTTCGTCGCCGAACGCTATTCAGGCTGTTCGTAGCTGTGAGTGCGGAGATAGGAAGCCGAGGGTTCTGGAGTAAACGGGACGTGATGGCGTTCGGGGAGGACCGAAGCAGTCTTGATGACTGCCTAGATGCCACATCCATTGTGGTAGGCAAGAATATCTGGATTGCTCCCTAGGGGGAATGATTGGTGGCAAGACGGTTGGACGCTGGAGACCAGTCTGGGGCCTTCGGATGAAGCTGAAGCTACGGGTCAACTTGCGGGAATTCATGCCTGAGGCATATGTATGCTGAGTCATCCTATACAATGAATGCTGATCATGGGAAACGTTACAATATGTCTGCGTGCTGTTGTAATTGGACAGGAATTCTTTATGTCTCTCAAACCTTATCATATTTCATTTGGTAAGACAATTACTCACTGCAATGGAGTGTCTCTCCTGGCTAGTTGGGAATAAAACTGTCAACAGTCCAATATACCTAACAACTGTTGCTACCGCCAACAGTATCATATATATTTCTCAGCCGTTAAGCAAACTACCATGCTGCATGTTCATATCACACACAAAAAGGGATCTGCAGGGGTCCTACAGGTAGATACAAGGATAGTACTCTAGGAAAGCGTATAAGTTGTTCAATAGAACCCCAAGTGATTGGGCAGCCAGCGACTCCTTCGAGCTTGATAGCCTCGGCTACCACACAACTGGTCAGAGAGCTACAAAGCCTCAACTGGCTGTTTACTGCGGGGTACAGCTAGGTAACTTCGCCGGGAATGCCCCGGAAGTAGTACAATGTAGTTGCAGTGTAAGAATATAGCAAAAAATACCGATTTAGATGCAAAGGAACAGATACTGATATACACTGTAATGATATAGGACCTCGACATCATCAGGTAAGTAACTAATCCCGAATTAAAACCCAGTCTAAACTATTTTCCCGTACCCAAACTACACCAAACCGACAAATGCAAGGGAGTGAAAATAAATATTATGAAATGGATATCACATTACCATCCGAGATACGGTGGCCCTTTTCCGTTTGAAGTGAAACCCACCGCGCCCAACAATATGAACAGGTAAAAGTTAGAAACTCATGAGAAGAGATGCCGTGAACTGCGCGAAAACAATGGTGTCGTGGACCGAATAGTACTCGTTGCAATGTGTATGTCTCCTTTGTAACTCCGCAGGGCCCCATAATGAAGCAAAGATTATCTTCTTTTTGTCTTTTGCTGTTTTTTTTTTCTTCCATTCATACTAGAATAATCGAGAAACATCATCGCATATTAGAAAGAATCCGGTTGAACAATCTATGGTCGTGGGAAAGAAGTTCAGCCCGGCGCACCACGGAAGCAAGCATCAAATGGAAGCTGCAGAAGATACTGCCCAGTAAAACATGCCCGGACTCCAGAATTTTAAAAACCTCCCATGACTAAAGCAAAATGGGGAACTAGAAGGGGAAACAGGAAGAAACAATAGCCGAGACGTAATGTGCATATATCAACCCACTTCGCTGGAAGATCGTCATCGGCGATTCGACAAGCGTAGATGCAAAAGCTGACAGATAGCAATGCAGGTCATGAACCACGAGAAAACATAGATGGTGAATAAAGTAAAAGAAACGAACAAAATCACTTTTCCAGCTCGGCTCTTAGGCGAACACCCAGAGTACAGTCGATCTTTCTGCGGTTTCCGGGAACGAGAGATCAACTCTGCCAGGCTGAACACAAGGCCTTTAGGACTCCGCGCACTTCCCGACACTTGGAAATCCTTTTGCCACCTAGATCAACAAGGTCGCGGATAATCCCATCAGGCAAGACCCCATTGCTCGACAGAAAAAGAACCCTAAAAAATGAATCAATCTGTTGAAACCGTTGCTGACGTTTCGTGCAATATCATCAAACGCTAGACTCTTAAATTCATTGTACATTTGTGCTTTGAAATTTTGGACCAAGAAATGCGACCAGAATTGGTATCACGGTCACCGTGGCGGGTTACCGTAAAAACTCCATTCGTCAAGAACTCGTCCTCGAAAAAAAAATTGGATTCGTAGGGAAAATCGGAGGAAGTAAACTCAAGCTGGGAGTCTCGTTCCCCTCACCCAGTAGGTCGGCAGATAGACTTCAGTAATATTCTGGGAGACCTTCAACGTTGGTTGTAGTGGAACTCATGTCCTGACTGCGAGTGGATTAGCAACAGTGGAAAGCTAGCGTTCAACTCGAGTACAAACCTTGAAGATTCGACCGCCGAAATGCTGGGAGAAGTGGAAAGCTTGTAAAGGAAATAAGCTAATTCGTCGGCTGTTCGGACTGTGTTAACAAATGCATGACAAACGAGAAAGAGGGTGAAAAGTATGGGACTGCAGTCAAATAGAATGGCAGAGATATCCAATACGATCGACTGGCTTTTCACTTGGTTGTGCGGGAAATGCATCATAGGGAATCCTTACAATTGCAGCTTCATTCTGGGCTTCCACGGGCTTGGAAGGCGAGAACTCTGGGGCAGCAGACGACAGCGACGTCTTCGAGGCTGGAGCCTCACCAGTTCCATTGACAGTTGGTGCCGATCCGTTAACTGCGCCATCGACATGATTTTGCGCTGCCGCAGTCTCATCCAACATGCTAGGTCCCTCATGCTGAGCGGCGGGTTCGCGCTGGTCAATAGGCAGAACCCACTGATCCCACTTGTCTCTCGGGCGCAATCTATCAATGCCATCTTCATTCTGCAGGTAATCAACATTTCTCAGTTGGCGGGAGACGTGGCGAAGAAGCTCGAAGTCCTCGGTCAGAGTCTTGATGCGCTTGAAACCAGCAATGAAGGCCAATGGGACGTAGCCCTGAGAGTCCATGTGTCTCCGAAGGAACAAGTCCTTGCACAGGTTATCCACAGAGAAGTAGTACTCAAGTTGCATCGAGATCATGCTCATCAGGGAGAAGGGCTCCATATATTGCTGATAAGGGACAGCCGTCATGGGGCCAGGGTGTACTGGCTGGTAGCCATACATGGTGTTGATGTCTGTAGGGAAAGGATAGACACCATACATGGAACCGGAGTTTGGCAAGGAAGGCGACCTCAAAGACATCCTGTGGCCTCCAGAGCTATGTTGTTGCGACCGGCGCTCACCGAAGCCAAAGGACTTGGGGTGCATGAAACCATTGTGAGACATATGGTTGTTAGGATAGTGAGAGTTCTGAGAGCCGCCGAAACCGCCACGGCCACGGTGAGAGCCACGACCTCTGTCAGCACGCGACTCGCGGGGAATGTCCTTATCTTTGCGATCATGGAAGCCACCAAATTCTGCCGACTTGGGGCCGTTTTCGAAGCGACGTTCGTGGGAGGAGCCTGAGCGAGGGTTAGCCTGTGAATCCACAGGCAAGTGTGGGTTCTTGGAGTGGTGATCGCCGCCCTTGTGCGTAGCGTCGTGATTCCTGGAGAATCCCTTGCCTTCACGATGATGACGGAAGTTATCACCTCCGTGGCCATGCTTACCGGCTGGCGGGATGTTGGCATTGTCACTGCCCTTGGGTCCACGGTTGCGGTCCGTGGCTTGGTTCTTGCGGGAGTCTCCCATTCCAGCATCAGCGCTGTTGGATCGTCTGGATGGGGCTGGAAGGGAGTTCGCGCGAGCCGAGTTGGGCTCGTTCCTTCCCCTCTCACCGGGCGCAGCTGCTTGGTAGCGGAGCCTTGAGCTACCTGACCAGCAGTAGCCTTATCCGCAGCTGCGGTAGAACCATGGGTTCCGTTGCGGGCGTCCCTTCCAGCACGAGGAGCTCTTCCACCGCGGCGTGCAGCAGAAGGAAGAGGAGTGGTGAAAACAGCAGTAGGCACGTAAGGGACTGGGGTCCACTTCTCTTTGCCAGAGGGGCGGATGACGGGGCTCTTCTCGGACTTCTTTTTCTCCTCACCCTGGGCACTTTGAGGGGTGGGCCACAAAGCGGCATCTCCTACAGGGGGAAGGGATGCATCATCGCGTCCCTTGGATCTTCTGTCCTTGGCACCATCCGCATCTCCTCCCTTCTTCTTTGAGCCAGCCTTGGACTGGTCCTGTTGAGCATCACCAGAGACCGAAGAAGCCGTAGAAGCGGTCTTAGAAGTGCCAGTTTTGGCAGCAGGGCCAGCGGGCTTCGAGGCAGTGGCCTTAGCCTTGGCTTCCTGAGCCTCTTTCCTCTGTTGCCAGATATTCACTGTAGGCAGAGGAGCAGCCTTGAGCTCTTTGGGTGGCTCGCTCTTCTCCTTCTCTGCCGATGTCTCCTTAGCATTCTCAGCTCCATTGGTTTGCTTGTCAGTTCCCGAGGCCTGGGACTGCTTATCCCACGTGGATTCGGACGTGCCATTCGGTGTATTTGAGCCCTCATCATCTTTCGGTAACGTCGAGGTTGAAGCAGTGCCCTCACTGGGGGAGGAGGTGCCTGAGACCTCTGCCTTGGAGCTTTCGACAGCCGTGGATTCCATATCCTTGTCAGAGTCAGCAGAAGGCTTCTCTGTTTCCTGAGGCTCTTCCGTCTTCACGGTCTCAGTGTTTTCAGCTTCAGGAGTAGTGCCCGCAGTTTGCTCCTCTGGGTTCGAGGCCTGATTCGGCTCTGCTGTCTTTGCTGACGGTTGTGCGGGGGCAACGCCCTTAGCAGCCTGGGCATAAGAAAACGTAGCAGCCATTGTTTTTGTAATCGAAAAGATCTAGTATATGCGTTGGAGAAAGTAACTGAAGGGACTTTTAAAGTTCTGCCAGAGAACGGGGGCCTTGAATGGCAACTCCGATCAAAGATACCTGGTCAGGCCGACTAAGGCGACACAGATCTGACACCGATGGTTATGAGAAGAATCAACTTCCGCCTTCTTACTACCCCACCAAACTGCAACTTCCCGTCACTGGAGATCACTCCTACTGGGGATGCAATTCGTGGAACTGTCCGTTTAACCGGTCAGGAAAGAACGAGGATGTTCTTCGTTATCGAAGGTAAAGCGTCGAGAATGATGCGTTTCACTTGGGTATACAAAAGCCACCTACAAGACGAATCGCATCGGTGTGGCTGTGATTAACTTTTTTTTCAGGCTGGTTCGGTTCGTTTTCAAGGTCGACTTGAATGACGTCCGAGACGAGTAAACTGAAGTCCGAAGGGTATAAACTTCGACAGGTGAATAGTGTCTATAGATGCAGAGTTTGAATGATAAGCACGATGTGCCTCCGTGCGTATGTTCACCAGATGCTGCAACCAACAAGAAACTCACTCAGTTGTGCGGCTCGAAATTCGGTCCGTCGGCAAGATTAACGGCTCTGCAGATGCGGATTACACCAGCTGAACAGTTGAAAGGCAATGTAATGGAGACGAATCACGTCGGAAGGTGAGAGGACCTCGTTGGCGTTGCCCCTTGTAAAGCGTCGAAAAGCGCGAGTTTGCACGTGGGCGACGACGCTACGGAATAATTTTTGGGAGCTCGACTTAGAGAAGAATCCCTGCGAGGGAAGAGTTGTAAGAAACAGATCACGAGAAGAAAGGTTGAGAACTGCAAACGAGAAATGTCGAGGCAGAACTCGTGCGGAGAAAGGTTAAAAAATTTCAAGGGAGTAACCGGTCAATGTACCCTAGCCAACAAAAATTCCCGCGAAATGCAGGACGTGGGAACAAGAAGATCGGAGAACGAAAGATGAGCACTAGAAGTGTGAGCACAACCTCACTACAGATAGTACTGCACCACCAACGATATTACGGTCGATGACGAAGATGGAGGGAGAATGAAGGGTAGACAACACCCAGAAGTGCGTTAAGAGGGGAGAAGAGGGGAGGGGAGGAGGGAGGGGTGGAAGGACGAAAATGGGCAAAAGAGAGAAGTAAAGGGAAAAGAAAGAAACAGGAGAGAGAACAATGTGTGAGAAAGTAGGAAATTAAAAAAAAA